TTAAAGAGAATTTGAAGTCGGAATACAATATTGAATGTGGCTGGGAGTTTTCAATATATAGTTTGATTAAATGAAGATGAGTTTATTCACTAACACAGCAGTATTACACGCACCAGGGAAAAAAACAAACTATTACTAATATTTAATTTAATTTACTAACGAATGATCAGATGTGAACGACTCTGTCATATTTAGAATACCACATAATCCACAAATTTGAAATGTTCATATCACTTTGATAGTTTTCATCAAAATTAGAGAAAAAAATAGAAGCATTTTTTAAAAATTAAAAAAAGAAGATGCAAAGTTACCATTTTTCGTTCATACAGATGTGCATACATGCACAAATCCTGTAAAGGTTATGGGCAGTTAAAACCGTTAACAAGCAAGTGTATATATAGGCCTATATAAAAGTAATTTTACTCCATAGTTGCCCTTCAAACTAACATTCCGTGTAGCATTTTGATATGACCTCAAACGTTGCCATCACATTTTTAAATTTTGGTTGATACAACAAATATTGCCATTTCAATTTTGTTTCTCTTTTGAGGTGAAGTAAGAAATGGCAAATCTGTTGTAATTCATATGTCCCTGTATATAGTCCCTGAGAGATTGATTGTCATCACATTAGAAAGTCCATCAATGGATAATTATGTAATGTGGCCTGGTACCCTATACCCCCCCCCCCATAAACCTGAACATTTTCCCTTGTGTATGTTGTTGTTGAGATACTTTCCATTAGTCTTACATTTCATACAGCTTTTAAAATCATTGTATATAGTTCAATAAGAGTTACGATCACTCTTTTCATTTCAGTATTTCAAGGAAAATTGTACTTGCCTTCATTCTAATTTTGTCGGTTTTTGCGATGCTCATACGTGTTTCATTTAGATTTCATTATTTTCAAGTAGTTTTTCCTTGACCTCATTTAAGGAGTGCACAAATCGCTCTCATAATATCGGTAAAAAGGGAAGTTTCCACCGCGCATCTAATTCAGAGCGATCCGCTTATTGAGTAGACTCCGTATGAAATCAACGAGGCCCGGAATTTTTCAATTGGCGCCAAAATGTGGAGACGGGTTCTTTACTTGTTTAATATTAGTACGCAGTTTCTCTTGAATAGGGCCATCGTCGATGATGAGATGACTAAGGACGGCCATTTAGTAGGGAACTAGGCTATCATAAGGTGAAAATGCATATATCAAGTAAAGAAGATTATGGGGAGCCATACGAGGAACGTAAACATGTAATACATCAGCTACCATTTGCATTTTAAACAAGCTGGAGCCTTCTAGAAGATTACAAGACGATTCGGTACTTATTTTATGTATGAGTTTTGTTGCTTCCGTCAATCATCATTGTCTTGCACTCTAAATACATGTGAAATGTAAAATTTCACTCAATATTGTGTATAAAGGGCACATGCATGTTTTTGTAGCTAAACATTTCAGAGTTAGGTAAATAATATTGTGCCCCCACGTTATAGGTAGAATTTATTAAATATTGGGTGATATATCACCCCCAAAACATGAATATTCCCTTTTTATTGGGTTTATTTGACCCAACATTATTTAGTGTACAAAACCTTTGCCATATTATGGTATTTTCGTATTTCTGAGACGGAGGTTAAGAAATAAAAGGTTTGCATCCAAACTGATCTGATTTTCATATCCTTTTAAAGCCGATGGAACAAAAGGTTCATTGAATATTTACATGGTGCCTCAAATTGCATCACTATCTTGACGAAACATTTTACTTTATTGCTGATCGAAGAAATAGAAAACAGAGGAAGAGAGAGAGAGAGAGAGAGGGGGGGGGGAAGAGAAGGAGAGAGAAAGGAAGAGAGAGAGAGAGAGGGAGAGAGAGAGAGAGAAACGGAATATTGTGTGGGAGGAGGTAGAACAAGGATGGGATGGACAGAGAATAGATGATGATCGTCCAACATATTCGATTGATGAGAAAGGGACTGGAGAGGAGGAAATACGAAAAGAAGAAACTAAACGAGAGACTGTAAGGAGAAGGACGACTAGATTGAAGACATTTGAGGGAGATGAAGGAGAAGAAGGAGAATTTTAAAAACATATATTGACAAAAGAAGTAGGTGTAAGACCGTAAGGGAGAATACCTAGAGGGGTGGAACTGAATGTGATGAGCATCGCGAATGTTAAATGGAATGAGATCTTAATGGATATTGTGATTTCTTCGAGAAAATGACATTCATATCAGGGGCTAAATTGGCAACGTTGACGTTCGTCTACATTCGCTCATGTGCGTAATGAAATACCAATCCTCACCACGGTAGTGAAGTGATGTGTTCAATATTATCTTCAAGTGTGATGAGATATGAGTAGAATATAATGCAAGACAAGGCATTAATGTTGAATGATGTGGTAATAGGAGCTATGAAATATTGATCTCTGGATGACACCTAGACAGTCATTACTCAAATCTTTGCGATTCAATAGAGAACCATTATTCTATAGGTCACCTGCAATCGTGGAGTTCATATTCAGTTCCTCTATTATTTATTCACTAAATTGACCAAAATCATGGCATGAAGCTGGTAGTAGCATGGGTTTGCACGGGGGAGGGTTGATCCCCAAAGGAGTGGTATAACTCCAGGGATACAGAGGGTGCAAGGGGCGTGCTCCCCAATCGAATAGCAATGGGGCATGAGAGAAAGGAGAAAACAAAAGAGGGAGGGGAGGCAACGGGGAAATGGTGTTATGACCCCTTTGCATACTACATTCGATGTCTTTGTTTTAGCGCTTTCCATTTACAGAACATGAAATTAGAATCCGTAAATGAGTAAATACGCACAAATATAACAAAACAAAATTTCGAGAATGTCGGATCAAAGCAGTTTATTGACTAATTGTTTAATCACATTTCTCTTACGGTCCACATGCACAAACATTTTTTTTAGAGCAGTCTACTACTATAAATGAATTTCATAAGAAGTAATCATAACAATACAAGTTGACTACCTCGCTCTGTTTGTAGTGTGTGCAATAACATCAACTCGAATTATAATCCTTGTTTCCATAATGTTTCACATTAAAAAAAAAACATCGTGCTTGAGAGCTTACTACTGTAATCAAAGGCAATATCTCAACAGTACACACGAAGAAAACCAAACAAAAAGAAATACCCAATCCTTAACCATCACCATTATACATTTAAAGGTCACATTGACTATACCTCGCACTGTGTTTGTCATGTTTGTGTGTGTGCAATAGCAAAAACAATTTTATTTGCAGGCGCAATGGCTACATTAAGTCGCAATGGGCAGTTATCGAACCCCCTCCATTAATGCTAATCGATGCTTATTCACAAAATGGTCGGAACAGGGGTCGGCGCCTCTATTACAACGTTTCGTTTAGACTCTCAATATTTTCAGCAAATCATCAAGTTAACCGTGTTGTATGTAGTTGTATTTTCGAATGTTCATAATTCCGATTTCCAAAGGTTTGTTTTTATTCCGAAGGTTCGCAATTCCGAAAATGACAAAGAAATCTGTTTTGTTTTATTTAGAATTACGAACCCGATTTCATTTTCGAAATTGCGAACCTTCGGAATAATCCATTTGATACAACACCTACGTGGATCCTTGTCATTTGATTGGAGGATTGTTGGTCACATGATATTCGATAGATGTTATATTGCACGGGCGTGCATTTTTGGTTATATATGCAGAGTGCATTTTTGGTTATATGCAGACTGCGTACCTCTCTGCCGTGCGTGTATCCCTGCGTGTATCTGACGCAAAGGCAATCTGAGTGTAATCGAGAAGGCTCGACTCCAACTTTAATTTATCTTTACTATAAGGAGTAAAGCATAATTTGTTGATTAACGTTCTATTAGATCTTTTTTGATGTTGTATAAAACTCACAACCATTCATTAATTGTATACCATTTTACATGAAATTAAAAAAAACAATCCTTTTCAGGGGAAATTAATTCTGTGACTTCTATAATAAATTGATACACAAAGAATGGGAAAGATCGCCTTTTAACTACAACTAAGATTGTCTCTAATCTTTGTTCCCAATTTACATTGAATAATATTTGTACATGAACTTACCGTCTAACCCGTAGCAATAGTTGATTGACCGTGTCTGATATGTGAAGAGGGCCTAATCATACTGTCAACCATTCAATATGATCCTCTACCCATTACATTACAAGATCTTTATTAGACTTAGGTTGGCTTGCGCATGTTACAATGCTCCAAGCACATGCAGCAATGCGCGCACGACTTCGACGAAAAGGCGGACTACTACAGGCGCCAAGAATGAGTATCGGACAGAAATTATAAAAGTGCTCGCAGACGGAAAATGAAATCACTTCAACTGGGAAAGATTCCTTCTAAATGCATCGGTCACCAAAATCAAATCAACACGAATACATGAAGGCTTTATCGTCATAAATCGTCCTAATACGCACTTCTGTAATGGAGCTTGGTATTTTTCCTCGTACACTCGGATTCTTTTATTTTAATGTGTGGGTAGTCAGTCATTGTACGTCTTCATCAGCTCGAGATTACCAAATAGCCCGCTATTTCTGATTTGGGAAATAAGCCCACTATAAGTTACAATAAGTTATAAATCGCGTCTTCATCAGCACGAGACTCGACCTCGAAACTCGAGCTAGAGAAATTAGCTCGAGATATTTTGCTCAGCGTTCGCGCATAGTGCGAGTGTTCGGGCTGGTGAAGACGCACCGGACAAATGGTGGAATTATTTGCTAAATAGCGGGATATTTTGCAAACTAGCCCAAGATATCTTGGAATGATTTTCTCGACCAAATATCCCGATAATTGCAACTGCGGGGGCTGATGAAGACGCAAATTAGCTGGATAATTTGCCATCGGGATAGTGAAAATAGCGGGTTATTTGGCAAACTCGAGCCGATGAGGACATGACTGGTTTTTGTGGGTAGAAACTTACCTTAGTATTACTCAAGTTTCTACTCGAGATATTGAAACGTAAATGATAAGTAGCTGCTTATGGGAGCATCCTGCCATTCAATGAAATACATCGTATGATTCTATAGGGTGTATGTAGTCAGGGAAGTATCTACGGAGGGGAGGGTGTGTCGGTGCTGGTGTGTTCCTTAACCTACCGTTTGTTCATTTTGTTCTTATCATCATCATCATTTTGTTCTTGCATTCTCTTTGTACAGTACCCTGCCAACAGATATTACAGGCTTTTTCGAATGCTGCCCTCTAAATTTCGCCCCTACGAAATGTGTAGAAGGTACGTATTTTTTTCATCATTTTTTTTCACAGGTGGGGGACTCGGGAGGGGGGGGGTGGAATTCGTAACAATTCAGCGGCTTTGCCTCTTTGGCATAAATCCCCAAAGAAGAGTGGGGGACAGGGTTAACGCAAATGGGCGCAGAATTTTTTCTTGAGAACACAGACACGCACACCCACACACATACGAACATTTCTTTTTAAATTGACAAAAGTTGAATCATTTTAGACCGTTAAAACCATTAATATCGTTGCATAGGCCCAATACATGACCTTCCTATACCATCATACGATACAAAATATATTCGCTCGCCACGCCGTGACCCGACTGTTTAGTAGAAGGCGTACAGTATTATATGTAACCCATTTAACCACGCCTTTGTTTGCCGCTATATCGGCTAGTAGCTCTTCCAAGAAAATAATAATGTTTAGATATTGGTATATACCCGTACGTTGTAATTAATACATTATCAGGGATGATCTTCATATAATAATAATGATAACCTAGGCTTCTATAGCGCATTCCATCTTCAGAGAAAATAACAATGCGCTTTACAATAATAAAACAGCAACTTAATTACACATAACTAGTACAGTAATTCATGAACTAAAGAAATATCAAAATAAGAACAAGATTAATAATAATCAATAAATATTGACATCAATTACAGAGAAATGAAAGCAAATTATAACGAATTACAGTAATGTTATCAATAATGCAGTTAAAATGACATCAGAGAGCGTTTTAAAACAAGTAAGATGTCAGTTGTGATTTAAAGAAAGTTAAGTCTGTGATGGTTCGGAAGGAAGTGGGGAGAGAGTTCCAAAGACGCGAAGCTGCAGATGATAATCTTCTGGATCCGAGATACTGCTTCAGCACATTATACTTGGGGTTGTGTGTGTGATGGTCTGAAGATCCATTAGATCTTTAGATTAGACTATTAGATTGATAGTGTTCAAAGACAATCTCATGATGAAAGACCTTTAATATGTTACTTGATGAGATAAACTATAAATGCAAGCTAGTTTGAGGGGAAATTCGAGGGAAATGTCGCTCTCAGTCGCTTTAAGTTAGGGGCACATAATATTACGGAGGTTATGAGAAATCTATCCTTTCGGGGGAGATGAGGCATGATACAAATATCTTGTCATAAGACGTATGAGTTGGCCTATGTCTCTTTTTATCATGAATATTGATGAATGACATTTTGGAATGTACATGCAGTTGCCTTGAGTTTGAAGTTATAGGAGGTGCACATTTGACACATATACAAGGAGCACTAAGAAGATGTGGAAAAAATCACTTACTACTAAGGGAAAAGGGCACATGTCAAAATAAAAGGGGAACGTATCAGATTTGGATAGGGGCACTTATGAAGAGTGAAGAGGGTGTAATTATAAGGAAGGGGCAGAAGCATATATTACAGAAAGAAAATAATCACCTGTTGAAAGAGAAAATGGCACTTATTGGAAAGGAAAGGGGGCAGGTGGCAAAGTAAAAGGGGCACTTCTAAGAAGGAGACAGTGTGATTTGTTACAAAGGAAAAGTGGTAAGTGGCACTAGTAATTCAACTGCAATAATAACAAGTAAAGAAGACAGGAGGCATCCTTGTCGGACCTTCTGTTCAATAGAGAAAGATATTGGATATCTATCCATAATTCATTTCCTTTCCTTTTGTATTTATACAAAGTTTGAATCCATTTAATAAATCCTTCTTTAAATTAAAACTTCTTTAAAAGCGGGAAATAAAAATGGGTGGCTAACTTTATCATATGCTTTCCTGAAGTCTAGAAACATAATAATCTTATCTAAACAATAATCAATAAAATCCTGGGTCAATCTGACATTTTCTTTATAAATCTAGTTTGATCTGTGGAAATAATACCACCTACATGTATAACATTTTGTAATCGTTTTGATAAAACTAAGTTTCAGAACATGACACTGTACATGGACAAATATATACAAAACACACAGGAGCATGTTTGGGTGCAATATGTGTTTTAATTCAATTATTTTCACTTGTCTGCAGGTGCAATATAAAGCCGCGGGCAAAAACCATTCAAGTGATTACAACAAAAAAGGTGGATGTGCTTAGTCCAGTGTAAATGGGACAACACGCAAATGTGTCATAAACATTTGGTCCAACTACTGCAGGTATATGAGCGCATGTAAAGAGCAGTCCTCTTCATGGGGTAACCTTTCTGTTGTGATTTAGTTTTAAATTGACATGCAATAAATTAGAAAGCCCACGGATTATTTTCGCCTACACCGGGACTCAACACTATCTCTAGATATACACCTAAGTCCTAACCATCATAACCTTTTAAATATTAAGAAATATATGTTTGTCTTTATTTAGGATGCCCATGTCAGTTTGGCGGCTACTGTGACTTCACAGCGGGCACCTGCAGGTGCCCGTCGGGACGGACTGGGCCGCTGTGTGAAGAAATGTGCCCCGTTGGGACGTACGGAGTGGAGTGCGTTCAGAGATGTACGTGCGGTGTGGGTGCCACGTGTGATCCCTACAGTGGACTGTGTAGCTGTCAACCTAATCTAAAGTGAATACAAATTTAATGTCTTTGTTACTATTTAACGTCTTTTAGAATATATACCTAGATTGTGAAGTATGATAAACAATAAGCTAAACATAATTTTTATACAAGTATTCTTTTTAAAGAATTTGTAAATGATTGTCATTTTAGTCTTATTTGGTTTTCCAAATGAACGTAAAAGGAGTGAACAAAGTGCTAGTAGCACTTGTAACACACCGACGAATAGACTTTTCACCTTTCCCCAAAATATTTGTCAATCAATGTCCTGTGGAATCGATGTCAGGTATTCAAAGAAGAAGAAACGGCTCTCAGGTGTCACTTCGCGAGGGGGATACTAAATCCCGACTCACCTGCCAATTCTAATCCCCCGTACATTACCTTAATGCTACTGTCAATGTGGTTAAACTTCTAAAAGTAATTGTATATCTAATCGATTGCCTTAATTATATTATCTTCTTTTCTCAGCTGCATGATATGCCGAGAGGGTTTCTACGGTCCCACCTGCAAGTTGACCTGCCCATGTGACCTAGGAGTGTCATGTGACTCATTCACTGGACATTGCCAGCAAGGTATAAAGGATGGATTGAGGGAAGGGGAAGGGGGAGGGGAAGTGGAAGGGGAAGGGGAAGGGGAAGGGGAAGGGGGAAGGGGAGGGGGTTCTACGGTCCCATGTGCAAGTTGACCTGCCCATGTGACCTAGGGGTGTCATGTGACTCATTCACATGACATAGCCAGCAAGGTATATAGGATGGATTGAGGAAGGGGAAAGGGGAGGAGCAAAGAGGGGGGGGGGGGGGGTCTACGTTCCCACGTACAAGAAGACCTGCCCATGTGACCTAGGAGTGTCATGTGACTCATTCACTGGACATTACCAGCAAGGTATAAAGGATGTATTGAGGGAAGGGGAAGGAGAAGGGAAAGGGGGCGGGGTCTACGGTCCCACGTGCAAGAAGACCTGCCCATGTGACCTAGGAGTGTCATGTGACTCATTCACTGGACATTGCCAGCAAGGTATAAAGGATGGATTGAGGGAAGTCATTAAAAAAGCACTATATAGTCGATAAAGTATACGAGCACGTGAAAGAAATTACCACAACTACTACAATTGTGGAAGGTATATTCAATGACAAATATAGATTTCAAGATTATTAATTATTTGGCGTCAGACATACCTGGGAAGGGAAAGCTAACTAGTGTACGGGCTAGTGTACATGTAAATCACTGTGACCCTCGGGTCTCTCTTCCCGTTATTAAATGATTGGGATGTATAGGTGGACCACTACTCCAGGGTTCCCCTAATCTAGAATCTGGATGGTAGTCGCCATCCTCCCCTACACCTACTGCAAACCTGGGATGGCGTAATCCACGAATCCGTATGCACCGGTCTAAACAGCCTGGCGTAGAACATCGGGGATCAGGTCATCTTCGGCTTGCAGCAAAAAGGTGGAGATCGCAGAGGTGGAGATAATAAATCGGCCAGATTCTGGACTAGGCTAGTGCAGTGTGTTTGAAACAGGGAAGGGGCACTGTAATACACATCGAAGTCTTCAGTCGTTTGCCTGGGTTGAATTCGAACCCATCTCTTGCTCTGAGCCCCCCGCCTCCGTAACAGATTTGTCATGATTATAAGTAGTTGTATGTCATAATTATGTACGCAACATATTATTTTCCCCTTCCAATGTAACTCTATCTTCTTTATTCCATCTGAATGAAAAACGAATTGAAACATTGATAACTGCTTTATAGGCCTACGTACAGCGCTTTTCTAGTGATCGCTTTGAAGCGTTTCTGTCTAAGATGACAAAAAGTTCCCACTCCAATCAAACACTTAGTACAAGGCAGAAACCATAAAAAAGTTATAGTTATGCCTTATTGTCTTTTACCCTCGCTTTGACAGCAAATTACTAATGGCGTTAATCCTAGCTATTGGAACAGATCAAAGAGCGCCACCTAAACATAGCCAAGACAATTGATTTTCCTCATAACTTAAGGCCCGGTCACACAGAGGGGACGCATGGGTGACGCACGGCCAGCACATTGGAAATTTGCAATTTGGGCCAGTGCGTTGTCGTTCGCTAGGCGTGCGTCATCATTCGTTACTCGTTCGTCGAGCGCGCTGGACCCACGCTATGCATTCGTCGTCATTCGCTGTGTGCATCGGGATTTTTTGAGCATGCTCAAAAGTGTGCGCGGAGCTAGCCTCTTGTCGATGCCCTCGCGCTGTTGGAGTCTCTAAATTCTGACGAGCGAAGCGAGTCAGAGAAACCGAGGCGCTTAAGAGGCTAGCGCGGAGCTCGACGCATGAATGTACACGCCAAAGGCACGCCAGACATGCGTGGAGCGCGCTAGACCAGCGCCAGATATACGCGGAGCACACGCTCTGTATACGCACAGCGCGCTAGCTACACGCTGTGCATTTTGTGTCAGCTCGCTAGCTTTTCCAAAATCATGACAAAAGTTAGGCACACGGCCGTGCGTCGTCTATATGTGACCACCTCTGTTGAGAACGCGGTGCATGCGTGGACCATTCGTCCAGCGCGCTAGAAACACGCTGTGCATTCGTGGAAGTTGTTATCATATGCGCTCTGTGTACGGTCTGTATGCGCACTGTATGCGCCATGTATGCGCTCAGCGCGCTAGCAAAACGCTATGCATTTGGTGTCAGCTCTCTGTAGCTTCGACAAAAGTTGGGCGCACGACAACGCACTGGCCAAAATTGCAAATTTCCTATGCTCTGGCCGTGCGTTCCCCAAGCGTCCCCTCTGTGTGACCGGGCCTTTACGGCAAACTTTCAGGATAGATATTACCTACATTTTATATTTTCTTTGCAATCGTACATGGCAGGTCCCCAAGCAAATGCAGGAAGTTTCTGGACGGATTTCTCTATCAGTGAGATGGCTGCCATCGCACTTGGAGCAGCACTTATCGTCGTCATGGTGATAGGTGGCGCTCTACTCATTCGATCCTGCTGCAAACATCGATCTTCTCAAATGTTAACATTGTAAGAAACGTCACCTTAGCATGAACTGTTGGGTATAGCCTTTTAGGCGATTACCGTTTCCTTCAACTTTATCCAATTTCCTTCCTTTATTCTGTTAATTAACTGTTCATTCTCTCTCTCAGTCTTTCTTTCTCTCTCTCTCTTTCTTTCTCTCTCTCTCTCTCTCTCTTTCTCCGCCCCTTCCCCTTCTCTATCCCTCACTCGTTCTCTCTCTCTCTTTTCTCTCCCTCTCCCATTTCTCTCTCTTTTTTCATTCATGTCATGTGAAACACTAACAATCAAACATTACCATTTTCCGGTTTAAAATGTTTAACATGCCTCTGGTCATTCTTAACATGACAAGGGTTTAACATTGTGTGTGTTGTTATCAATGGCCGCCCGGTTTCGAAGGACGCCAGTTGTAGTTAGGTTAGGAAATGAGGCTGATTAAAAAAGAACACGCGGTGATAATATATGATTCATACATTGTTCTCCCGCACCTGTGTTTCCTTTTCAACAACAACAACATCGACCTGTAAACGTGACGTTGCCAAATCTGAAACTGTTTCCACGAATACAATTCAATTTTGTTCGTTTTCTGTGCATGACGAATCCATGAGGATTATATGGAAATATTAATAATTCATTATCAGTAGTATTAGTAGCTGTAGTAGCAAGAGTAGTAATAGTAGTAGCATAGTTATTATTATCATTATTATTATCAACATCATCATCATCGGCATCATTTTTGTGTGCCCTGCCTTGTATCAGGGGAGGGCTGGGTGACTAATAAAATAAAAGGCTCTAATTATTTCAAATCTTTGCGGTAATACCCCTCTTTGATATTAATGAAATAACGTATTCAACATCTTTACTCAGGAATGGAAGAGCATGACACTATGATGCCGTGATATTCGTGTTACTAACTCTATAACTAAAAAAAAAACAGTTATGTATTTGGTAACGAGAACTTGAAAGCATCATAAAGATCATTCGACATCTGCTCCTGCGACATTTGTTGGGGTTGCAGTTTGGTTTAAGGTTATGATTAGGGCCAGGGTTAGTGTTAAGTTAAGGATTAAGGTTAGGGTACGGTTAAGGTTAGGGTTATGGTGAAGGTTAGGGTAAGGTTATTGCTGAGCCAGGTTTGAAGAATTTGATCGGTGAAGGATATGGACTCGACAGCGGATTAATTTTCGCGGAAGCATGTGTCGTATAAACTCCATTGAGCTATAATTCTGTAAAGTCGTAATGTAGAAACAAAGTTACCATAATATTCGTGCCATATCGTGACCTTATATTTTTCCTTCACCTTTCCTCCTTGCACAGGACCCGCCTTCCGTCTGATGAACCGTGTAGATACACTGTTGATTCCGGTAAGATTCTTGTCTGCCAAAGGGTAACTGGGACTAAGCTATTGGCATATCCGTAAGGGCGGAGGGGGGGGGGGGGGGGGTGGTGAGTGGTTGTTGATAGATAGTAGAAATCTTCCCGCATGTTTATTTCTTGCTTCTGTCGACAAACTTACAATTCTTATGACAAAAATACTATTTGTGCTCGATTTTTATTCACATTCGCCTCCACTGCCCCTCCCTCATGACGCTGGCTACGCTAATACTTAGCATAAGCCCGGATACAGAAATAACAACATTGTATTTTTGATAACTTCTTTCCTCTTTCGTTCTCTCAAATTTTACTGCATGTAGATAGTCAAATGAAACATTCGGGTTATGCATAGAGATGGTCAATGGTTGTTTAGTTCAGCTCTAGTCACCTTATTTCCTCATTCGAAAACAAATTCAGTGGAAATAAGTGTATGAAAATAAAACAGAAAATAAATTATATAATTGAAGCTGTATTAGTATATATTTTGCTATAATTCATGTGCCTGTTCCATTCCTGTGCAGGTATAGACACCAGTTGTAATGATTATTTGCTCTTAGGGGTGCGCAGTACACCTAAATATGGAGATGTGTCTCAAGTGATATCCTCCAAAATACGTGCCAACGTCTCCCTTTGTGACCAAAATGAAGAGGTGTCGGGCTGCTGTGGTTTTTCTTCGATTCTCACCGACTACTAAGGATATAACTCCAAAAACCACTTCATTCATTGTCCTTAACTCCTGCTCCTCTTTGTTACTGGTTGATTAAAACCGATGGAGAATAAGATTTGTTTATGGTAACAAAGGAAATGAAATGTCTCCCTAAGTTTATTTTATAGGCAAAAATATAAAAGATAAGGTAACCATCCGAAATTGTTGTTAAAGGTCATTGTAGGATGAATTACTTTACGTTTATTTTTTTTTAAAATTTTGTTAAACGTATTTACAACAAATTTAAGAAAGAAACCATTCAAGAAACATTAAATCATTAAACATATTCAACATCACATCGAAACAAGGTCACTAACCGGGGCGTGCCTGACAATTGACAGTGGGAATGCATACTGAAACATTTTAATGCTGCAGTATACCCCACATTTACAGTCATTACAGTTTTGGAATTACTGATTGTATAAAGACATTTGCAGAAAGGGAATAAAACAATCCGAGTTATATTTTCATTTAAGTTCTCATAAGAAGTAATTTTACAGCCTGTAGATATAACACAGCTTGCAAGAGCAATGATTTATTTCAAGATTTCACTTCGAATACTTCCCCAGATTCAGCTGTATTTACAAAACAATAATCGTTTTCAAAAACAAGAAAATAGCCTTATTGTTTCTATGATACCAAGTTAACGGAAGAATGGGTTTAATGAGAGCGTTGTATTGAATCAAACTCGAAATAATGAGTCACTATGTAGGAAATACATTTTTGACAATGTTAGTTCATTTTGCAGGATTCGTTATGAGTCCTTCCTAAATTCAGGTATACTAGTCATAACTTACATAACCATTCCAAATCGACCATGTCAGTAAAATAAATATGATAAGATGAATATAAATTGATCAAGTATATCAAATTAAAAACTGAAAACTTGGGCTGGTTTTATACTGACCTTGCGTCGATGAAAATATTCTGTATTGATGTTGTAAAATTTAATTTTGTAATATGTAATCAATCATAGTACCATACAAAGCTATAGCTCTATATTGAATAATTTAAAAACGGAGTTCTTTTCGAGTATGAATGTGATATTATATCGTGTGAATATCAACCTTGATATTTGTATTTTTGTTTTGTTTACAGTCAGATAAACTGAATTTGCAACCAAAACTTTGAAATCATCGCACATTTCAGTATCCCTTTGTATAGTGAATCAGTAATGATAACATTCGTTTGTTGACAAAACTACTTAATAGCCCTTTCAAAAGTGCAGCCACACGTGTTTCAATGATTTATTTCCGTAATGATTGTGTTTGTTTTCCTTGATGCAAAAGTTGCTATTATATTTCGAATGGGATCAAGGCTATCCTGATAAAATTACTCATCAAATCATGATGTACTATATTTTCTCGAAAATTTTTTCGAAAACGAGAAAAATTCATTTTAAGATTTCACTTCTAACAAAACGGAAACAGACTATCAAAACAAGGAAATGTCGATAGTATCACGCGTCACCTCTATATGCAGACAAGTCAAATACTAATTACGTAATCTCTTTATTAATTCAATAGGCAATGCAACGGGGTATTGAACTTGCTCTTGGGTTGATTTCATGAAGGTCTTTGCGCTTGTTTTGATTTCTTTTTTTTTCTATCGTAAGGCGTTGATGGAGTTTATGACAAATCCAAATACAGCATGTCTCGGCACACTGTCATTGAAATAAATGAGAGTACTAAATTATTACCTAAATAAACCTTTTGTCCTCAGGAGATATTTTATAAAAAAAACAGGAAAGAATGTAAATATGATAAATAGCGTCTTTCTATTGTTTTCAGACCACGTGCCTGCCGCCACGGCTGTCACAGCTACGAAGCGTCACTCAGCCGTGTTCCTGACCTCTGATGGAGATGCTAGCATATATTGGAACCAGAGGGCAAGTCATTTCGAACGACAGCTTCCAACCATCCCCGGAGAGGGACGTCTTCTTCGACCAGCCAGCGCGCAACCTCTGATGAGGAAACATTACGAACGGCGCTCCCTGCGGACTGAACGCGCTCCACGTTGCGTGTCGGTGGCGTGCGGAGAGAAACTAGAATACCATCGAGAGACCACACCCGACAAGACAAAATTACCAGTTCGACCTCCAAATGTCGGGAGATTGAGCGGCAGTGAGGGGAATTTATGTTTGCCAATGCGGCAAGAGAATTACGGATGTACAGCTAGTGCAAGCATCCCAGACTACAGTAGACACAGTCGTGTCGCTAAGAGAAACGGCAACTATGATCACCTGACAAGACCTGTCAGTTGGGTCTCGCGTTGTTCACGTGATTCATCACCTGAGCCATCACCTGATGGTTATCATCGCCTCGAAACTCCGCCAACATTACGTGTGAAGCGAGGAGACACAAACAAGGACAGACCGGGGTCGTCGTCCAACGATCTCGACTTCCATTCTCTTCATGAATACGATCATGCACCGAAGCTGCCGCCGATGAAGAGAGGGCACTTGGAGAAGACGGACAGCGCACCGCTGACTGAGAATAATTACGAGGAGCCACTCAAAGTATTGCGAGAATCTAAGCGCGAGAGTCTAGAGCGTGATGACGACGGTAGAAAGAGGACAAGAGAGATTGAATCTGAATTCCGAAGAAAAGACTCCGAGACGTCGGGTGAAAATATGTACGAAGTTTTGACTGCACCATGAAGGATCCAATCAGAGTGTTATTCCCGGTGCACACGAGGCGTCAGTGCGATTGCGCCATTACCTGCGCTGCTCAAGCCATTGAAGAAAATCAACCGTACGACAGTAATTCAAAGCAGTATTGCACTTTTCAATTCACTTGTTGCGCGATTTCACTCCACTCGCACATGACGTGTCAAAGACCGTCTTGGTAACAGACCTGGGACCGTCAAAGACCGTCTTGGTAACGGACCTGGGACCGTCAAAGACCGTCTTGGTAACGGACCTGGGACCGTCAAAGACCGTCTTGGTAACGGACCTGGAACCGTCAAAGACCGTCTCGGTAACGGACCTGGGACCTCCAAAGACCGTCTCGGTAACGGACCTGGGACCGTCAAAGACCGTCCTGGAAACAGACTTGGGACCGTCAAAGACCGTCTTGGTAACGGACCTGGGACCGTCAAAGGCCGTCTTGGTAACGGACCTGGGACCGTCAAAGACCGTCTCGGTAATGGACCTGGGACCATCAAAGGCCGTCTTGGTAAGGGACCTGGGACCCAGTCCTAGGTCGATGAAATGACACTTCGTGTACAATGGCATTACACGATCCTTATCGGCTATCACCACAGTATTACATAAAAGCCTTTGCCCTGTTATTGAATCTTATGTTACCAAATAGATCTTATAATATGTAACTAATTTTGTACATATAAAAAGGTCAGCAATTTATGTTGAACACAAAAGTGTAGATGTTGAGATTCGACATCCGATTGTTTTGACGAGATCACTGATTAATCATCCAAGTACCATACGTTTCAGTTTCTCGTAATCGTTCATTTATTGTCCCGCTACAAGTTCATGCTGAAATACACCACACGATCAACATGAATCAATCATTGTTTGGTTAACAGTTTGTATAGTTTCAAATAGTTCGGTTGATAATGAATAGAATTACTTCAATTAGTCTAGATGTTTAGAAGATGACCAACTACAATTAATATAAAATATTTATATAATATTTCAAAAGGGGTACAGTTCGTTCTTATGAAATTTGGTGTACATTGTACCCCCCCCCCCCCCCCCCCCCCCTCGGCTCCACTGATATGCATTGTGGGGATGAAAATGGGACCGTTACTACACAAAGCTGCTCTGATTCTTTGAAACTAAATATGGCTCTTTAGATGACCACAAGAGGGCACTCTTTGTAAGCAACAGTGGAAAATGGAAGGAGAAGGATGAACTTATTACAGAGGGAAAGGGGCGGTCGTCAGAGTACTATAAGGCGTCCCATCAATCAGAGCTTGATAGGGGCACTTATCAGAGATGAAAAGGGGGCATTTATCAGAAGGAGAAAAGAGCACTAATAAGAAAGGTAATTACACGTAGGCACGTATACAAATAAAAAGGGAACCTGAAAATGGGCACTTGTCAAAGTAAAAGGAGCAGCCATCAGATAATAATAGAGGACACTTACCAGAAGTGAAAGGGGGCTCTTATGAGAAGGGGAAAGGGGTATCTATGAAAAGAAAATGGGCACTTGTCAAAGTACAAGAGGCACCTATCAGATATGAATAGAGGCCATTTACCAGAGGTGAAAAGGGGCTCTTATGAGAAGGGGGAAGGGGCATTTATTAGAAAAAGGGGCACCCATCCAGTAAATGCCCCCCCTTCCCTCGATAACGATCACTTTCCCCTCAATTACTGAACCCAGGATATGCCTCTACTCATAGCCTTTGGTAAAGGAGACCAAGATGGAGAATGTCATTTCGGTACCCCAAAAAGGAGTTAACTAATTCAGGGAGTAAAAATCACTTTTAAAATACATTCCAGGATTTCAACGTTTGGAAGAACACACCGCGGTCCAATTAGCTACAACGCCAACATTCAAGATTTTGGCAATCAAATCATTCGATGGAAAGACGTTCAAACGAAATTATAATTTAACAAAGATCGGACTCCGTAGGTGAAAATATATTTCTTATCACCTTCTTTGTCGAAAATATTCATTAGCACATTCTTTTTCAAGTCAGAACTTTAATTTTCCACTTACATTAAGATGCATCGTGTTTTAAAACGAATGAAAAAAAAAAATGTTTCTTCATATCGCTTTCTGATAATCATCCCATTTTCAAACCTAAATCCTACTTAAATTGTAGGTATGATATATTTAAGTGTTCAACTGATATTATATTGTTTAATATTTAAGCGCAACAATGTGAGCAAATCGGTTGATAATGGACAACCGATTGTAGTGACTTGACTGTAAGATTTTAATCAAAGACTAAATATTAGACTTTTCTTCGAAGCATTTTATGTTTGATCAGTGTCTCTCAAACTATGCACGATTATGTAACTGTTTTTTTTAAATTTCTTATATACTCTCGATATCTGTTGAGTGTAAAAACAAGTACTTTGCTCTTATAATACTACATGTATCTGCAATTTATCAATCTTAGAATATGTATTCCAGTTAGATGTTTTGACATGAATGTTGCTGTAAATAAATGCTCATTTTTACAATCTAAACAATCTCGTGCTTATTCGTTTGGCTTTAAATGATGATAAGTTTTTAATAGACGCTCTACTTGCAAAGGCAGCACCTTTAGGGGTTTAGTCTGCACCCTTTAAAATGTGCAATCCTTCTCCCATACTCGAGGAATACTCATGAAATTTGCTCGTACACAAATACATATTAAACATGCATGTTGTTTATTGGTTAGTAATCATATAATCAATGTATCTATTGCTAAAACGTGAATGTAATTGTAACATGATCAGACAAAATAATATATTTGTTTAATGATTGCCGAAGGAAAAAGTCAAATCACAAAATTGATGCGCATTGTCATAATTTGTTTAACAAATCATGATAAATGTATTTTTTATGTGAACACGTGTCAAGTAATCATGAATATGCATGCAATATGCAAACTTTTATTTTGCACCCTTTTTGGTCGATAGGGTTCATTTTTGTGGGAAGGGTGCAAAATCTTATTTTGCACCCTTTTTTGAACTCCTTTTCCTTCAAAAGGGTTCATTTTTACGTAAAGGGTGCAAACTCTTATTTTGCACCCTTTTTTGCACCCTTTTTTCTTAGAGTGTAGAGTGGGGACTGGCTACTCACATTCATGCACAAAGTGGAACACACATTTCTTGAAAGTCTTTCAAAGCACCCCGTAGAGCTACTATTACGCACTGTGACAATAAGGATTAAAATTGAATTAATAAAATTATTTATGAATTTATCCTAAAGTTCATCTTCAGAAGTATCGGAATTTTTAAAGTAAAGTCAGTGCATGACGCTAAATGTGTCGGAAAGAAAATGTGATACTTGTGTGATTTTTTTTAAAAGTTCGTTGGCAAACCAACTTAAAATGCCGATGCGAATAGCATAACATTATTTTGAAGACAGCACTAATTGATACTTGGCTCTTTTCGGTTATCGCTGAATTAATATATACCACCTCAAAACTCAAGAATGATAAATGGTTTATTTAACACTTACTGTTTACAACCGTGTATAAACACTTTAAAACAATTAAATCATTAGCAAATGATTTACTGAAAAATGAATCGAAACCATGTCATTAAAATGAACAATGAAATGAAATGTTCGATCATTCATCTTACCACGACTAATCAAGGCTATCAATTTCAAAGCATCCTAAGCATCGTGGGAGAATATAGTCCACTCTAGCTAGCTTTGGATCCAGTTTGTCTTCCTTACAAAATCCTCTTTCAAGACATTGATGCCAGAGCTAGCACCGAGCAGAGCCATAATCATCTACGAGACAAAAAGCAGTTCAATATGGCTGCTTTCTATTTGAAATTATTTCTCCTCATCTTCTACTGGATATTGCAACATCTTTTCATGAAGCTCTTTACAGGTATGTTTACATTAGTCGTTTAAATAGGCCTACTTTAAAACATGTCCACATACATGTACATGAATATTTCAAAAGCTTTTCACTATAACTCTTCAACAGTAAGTTTATATCAAGAGTTTCGAAACTTAAAATGTACAAGGCTCATCTGGATATCTAAAAAGCTGAAAAGAAACTCTTTAATTATATTAAAAACTATTGAAGAACTTCTTCGTAATTTCATACATGCAATACATGCAAAACTGTAGCTTTCCTAAAGTTAGCATCTCATTTTAACGAAATGTACACTGCCGATTATCATGATCTTGGAAATCGTATTACACTTTTCACTCGTCTAATACATCCGGTTGATTTGCGTTGGTTTTTATATTGAAGTAACAGAGAACCACAGAAAGGGCGATTATAACAGTGCCGACAATGAAAATAAACGTAAAGCCAAAATGGATGTGGATGAACAAACCGGAACATGGTATTTCCTCAACGAGTACATGTCTGTGACTTTTTTTTCTGTGAAAGTACATGAAAGAAAATTTGTGCCAAAGTTACTTTTAACCAAATTTATTAACATATGATTTAGTGATTTTATACAGAGATAATGGTTTATGTGACTTAATTCATTCAATGACAATGTAGCGGTTACATACACTGCAATTTGATCTAAAAACAACAATACAATGCTCTAAAGTTTAACAGCCCTATTTCATGACATAAATAATAATTTTGTTGCAGACCATCAACAATAAAAGCAGGCTAAATCTGAAAAGTATTGATATAATGATGTGCATTTTATATGTAGAAAGTTGTTAAGCATTTTTGCATTATTTCTAGTTTCTATATTTTACTTTGGTTAGAGATAACCTTGTGATGCGGTGTTTTGATAACTTTTGACGAAGCGGAATTGAAATCAAATAAAGTACGAACTTGTCACGTTGTCAAAACATTGTAAACAATTCGCCATATGTGTCAGGATAGATACAAATAAAATATTTCTCTCATTTTTACGGAATTTTGAGGGCAGTTTTGTTTCTTTACATCATTGTGAAGGAATGAACCTGTATTGCCTCTTTCAAAAGATCCCTTAAAACATACTTCCACCCTCAGTAACTTGTGTGATTTATATACCTTCGTTCATGAGCCTATGTATTTCATGTTTCTCTTCACATAATGTAATGTTGTAAGGGCTATGGTACTTTTTGTCAGTGCAATCAAAATGATCGATATTATCATTATTAGTATGTGTCTGTAAATCGTTCTCTGCACGAGATATGCTTTTAAACAAAAATGTGTTAATCAAAATAGCAATCGTATAATGCAAGTACGCGCTTAGTTTATGCTAAACTAAGTTTATGCTAAAGACCCACCATCAACAATAATCAGACAGGCACTGACCATAAGAGCACAGCTCCTCACATCAACCTACCTCACCCGAACCCGTCTTACCAAGATTAAGAAAGCAACCAACACAAAGTGTCCTCTCTGCAATTTTGAGGAGGATACCGTAGTTCACGCTGTGGCTGCCTGCTCGACTACTGTCAACCTTCTGGAAGACCTTACCGACAGAGCCAGTAGACTCCTGCATAATGTCCTCGACTCTGCACACCAAATACACCACTGCTCAACACCCAGGACCCTTCCCATCTGATTTACGCTATTCTCTTGCCATATGATCCATACCTTCCCTCCACTGTCAATGATTATATTTTAAAGATGACTCTTCACTATCTTTACAAAATTCATGCCCATCGCCTGCACTCCATACCCTCCAACTAAGGATTTTATAACATATTTACAGCAGCCTACTACTTCGAATGCGATAAACTCGCTGATCTCCGAAAAGCGGAGGGACAACAACAGAGAGAGATCCCGAGTCGACCAAGTTTGGTAGGAAAATGTTTAAAACATAGAAATAGAGGCCTTAAGTAAAGCGTTGTTATTATTCACAAACATTAATGTACCATTAGATAACTGAGAAATATAATTCTGATTATTCAATCAAGGAATTTATAGAGCGCAAACATCTAGTTAAAATTCCTAATGAAAAGAGCTGATGATGATGAAAAACTACCGAATAAGCCGTCCATGATTCACCTAGTAAAGACTTGGTAGTGGCTAGTTGTAAGCAATATGGAATAGGTATGCCTTTTTTCTCGGGAGTGGGGGGGGGGGGGGGGGTTGAAAGCGGATAGCCGTATACAAGAGCCTGTCTTCATCAGCTGCATAAGCAGTGATTATGATTATCGCGAACCCAGTGCCGTGAGTGCTTCGATTAGTGTTCATGGATATGATTTTTATCTTGTTTTGCACATAATTACATGCACAAATCAAAGAGAGTTCAATTAGTCCTTAATATACTTAAACTGGATAATCATGATTTATTTCTCGATGCTTTGGTTTTGGTTTTATTTATCGTTTTTGTATTTTTCTTCCATACGGTATATTATAATCTACCCCCATATATTCGCCTTTCTTTGTACATAATATCTCTCATCATATAATATAACCACCTTGCTCACCATCTCCATTTTTACCCTCTCTTTCTAGTACACATTAAATATTTCTATCTATAAATCACAATCTCTATCTTGCTCCCTCACCGCTGTTTTGTATATACTTTTTTTCCCTTTCTCCTGTCTTTTCCCTCTCTCTCCCTCTCTCACATTTCCTCGTGATATAAAGCCTACATACATGTAATGAGTAAGATTTGTTTCCTGAATTCGTAGAATATAGAGGTATTTTGAAAACCAAACTCGGCTAAATATGAAAGCGTGGGCCTTTAATACCGGGAAAATGTTCATTGTTTTCCTCATAACTGTCATGAAGAGACGACGTCTTACTCGTGAGATGACCTCGATAAAAAAATAGTCGTTTTATTTCACCCAAATACATGTAAGACGAAACAGTTAAACAAACAGCACTTAGAGTCATTTTTGGTTAGATAAATTGATTATTTTTGTAGAACCTTTCTATCATTTCATGCACAACTGATGAATTTAGTGAACTGAGACTTATATTTCTGTGCATTAAAATTGTTATAGAATAGATGTAAAGATATCTAACGAGATGATCACTTATAATCTCAAGTACCCCTATCTATACATTTATTGCCGATGCTATGTAATACACACGAATTGATTATTGTATTGTAACTATTCTAACGATGACAACTGGATATCAACTAACTATACATTAAAGGAAACCAAAACCTTCATACTAATTATTTTATTGTAAAGTTTAAGATGTTTGAAAAATATCAGTGAAAATTTGAACAAAATCGGGCAAAGAATAAGGAAGTAAGAGCTTTTTGAAATGACTAGTCACTAGAGGGCGGTATTCAATTTGATGACATCATCTGTGGACAACTCTCCATGCCTTTTTACATCAAATTTCATGTTTTTCCTTCTTTCTTGTGATAGACATAA